GTCGTCCATATTCCACATATTTGTCTGATCCTCATTAACAAAGAATGATTTAAAATTCGCTTTCTGAACAATGAAACATAGATTAAGAAGACCGTATGCTGATCATTCCATGATGGTTTTATGTATAAAAATCTCTTCATGGAGCGATATAACGTTCATTCAATAAAGCATCAACAAAATTAAATTTCGAAGGTTTAGTCTTAAGATAACAGAACTAGATGACCTAAAGCAGTCATATGGATCACAGGTGATGACAGATAGATTTTCGTCAACATCTGTTCGGCTTTCTTGCTTGCATTCTTTTAACTGATCTCATAAGAGAATTTATCGGCTACTGATGACAGAAAATAATTTAGTAGCATAGACCTGATTGTACAAGCGGACAATACCAGAGATCGTATTCGGTTGACTAAGCACCAAGTCATAATTATTCAAAAGACTGAGTAGTTGAAATGTATGTTCCGTTTATCGTAATCGCTTAGTTAATGGTCTTTTGCTTGCAAGCTGATTTGAGATAGCTGCAAAAGTGGTTTTGAATCATTAAAAGTCCTTACTTGATACAAGGGTAAGGTCATTTATCTAGCGAACTAAGCTTACCAAACGGACCTTGGCGTTGAGCTCACTTACTTTTGTTGAAGTATCCCAAAATTTAGTGTTTAGTGATAGTTCTGATGGATGAGTGGCTATTATAAATGATAATCATTTCATTAATAATTCCTGTATTCACCTGAATCCATGAGAACATTATCAATTTTTAACATTCATATGTTACCGCCATCGAAAATGACAGTAAGAACTATAGGTTTTACTAAAATTTCAAGATACTTTTTGATAATGTGCTGGAATAGGTTGTATTTTATCCAATAAAAGGAAGATATTATAACTTAGAACATATTATTAATTTGTATAGGCCTATTTATAATTATTTTTAGATTTGGTAGTCCATCATAATATGGATGGACGTTTTGTCGTTTAACAAAGTTTTTTAAAGATCAAGATTACAACATGAATCTGCATAGGACACTGTCTTTTTCAACTAGTTGATAATTAAACAAAGATGATACTAAAGATTATAAATTAATTCTTAGAAAACAGTTGTCATAATTAAATTCACTTGTTTTACTTGTATCTTCCCATTGTTATTTATGACTTAAATTGACCAGTCTCATGCCTTGATATAGCATTAAGTCACAAGCTTTTTAAGCAAAGATGGATAGTAGCTAGCAGTAGAATCCAGGACGCGCGTTTTGTATGTGTAGGCATAAATAGGACGAGACGCCCTTCCTGGATTCCACTGCTAGCCACTATCCATGTTTGCCTAAAAAGTCGTCTCAATTGTTTTAACATTCAGACTACCAGATTCATTATTCGAATAAACTGTTTCTGTATAGGTTATGTAGTGATCAATTCTTATAAACATTTCCATTTTAAGATTATTGTAGAATTTGATTATTTTGAATACTTAAGACAAAATAATTAACATTCTTTTGTTGACGATTTCCTAATTGTGTTGATGGATCTACTAACTAGTAGTCTGATTAATTGACGATAATGTAGAATAGTGATAACATTTGTGAAACCTATCAAAGTGCTGAAATTCATAATAATTATATCAATCATATAAACCTGAGGTCAAGGCTAAAACTAAACGCAAAGAAGGATATTTCAATCCCTGATAATTCAATTGCAGAGTAGTATACAAATTTTTTAAAGACCCTTTATTATAAATATAATAAGGCAAATAAGTATGTGAAAACGTCTCAGTTTGAATAAATTGCATGTGGTATATTATATTCCTTTAATTTAGCATGAGTATCAGATTTTTTCAATCCATTTCAAATAATTTCGTTTAACAAATAAAAAAAATGTCATATTTCTGTACGAAAGTATTAATGTAAATATTCCCAAAAGCGTACTTTCCTGTATAAAAGCCCTGAAGTCGTGAACAATCTATAGTAACTTTGGGAAGCGTAGTATAATGAATACATATGATCAGATAATTAGACATTAATGAAGATATGTATATATTTTAAAAAAACTTCAGGAAATATGTCATTTTAACAAATCATTGAACTTTTCCCATTCTTCCATCATATTCATTATGATCTTAAGTTTTTGTTTCACTGATATGTGGAAATTAATATTCTGGTTGCAAAACAAAATCTTAGAATGAAAACATTTATCCTCACATGAAAGATTTCCTAATATAAAGCATTAAGGACACTAAATAAACAATGCTCCCTAACTTTATTGTATACAGTCAATGGAAAAACTTTCATCATATTTCTTCTTAGAATCACATTATATATATATACGGAAATCACGAGATTGCACCATGAGGCAAGCCCTGACTTGGAATCCTGAAGGGAAGCGGAAAAGAAGAAGGCCAAAAAACACACTGTGTCGGAAAATAGAAGATATGAAACACCTGGAAAGGATTACCTAGGACAGGGTTGAATAGAGAGTGCTGGTGGGCGGCCTATGCTCCTCCACGAAGGGTAACAGGCGTTAGTTAGTAAGTAAGTAAGTAATATGTATATGCTACACGCACTATTTGAAATAACTTACACTGGGTGTCAAAATAAATGAATCATCAATTCGAACAATAAATAACACAAATTATTAAAACAATTTTGACTTGCTAGTTAAATACTTATTATTGTACCAATAGTTAATTTCATACTGGATTACTATCTTATAACATATCATATTATCAACATATTATACCGCGGGCGGGATCGTTGATGCGCGCTGCTGAGGAGTCCCATAATAGAATGAAACGACCGTCCAATGCTTCCAGGTTTCCAACGGTGGTCTAACATCAATCGGTTCATGATCCTCAATCAAAGAAATATTAATAATCTCCACAACCCCTATACTGATATTATGATAAGTTAGTAACTCACATAGAATAAATAATTTAAGGTAATGTCAAATGGAATCTTTTGCAAATAGAATCATAACTAGAATTTTTAAAAAAACTTTATACCGTTCAAACTTAATAAACTATTGATCTAATTGTAAATACTTAATTATTCTTTTAATAATATAAACAAAACAATCGGTAAGAAATAAAATAAACAAAACATAACCAAATACAAATATTCTCTTTATTTATTATTCATTTTTATTCATAGATAATCCTATACAAATATGTATATATATATATATATCACAACTAAAAACTAATTATCTCTTTAATGTTCCTTTTTTGTTTTTTATTTCTTATTAAAATTCTGTGTTAGTAATGAAAAATGATTGTGTCAAACAGAAGAGGGGAGAGAGAGAGGGAAGGAAAGAGAAAGAGAGAGAGATGGAGAATAATTGTGATTGATTGTCCATATGTATTCATTTGTTACAGGTTAAAATTGATAGAGTAAATAGTAAATCTCCAGAATAATTGTACTATTCATTATTAATAATCATAATTTGTTTATATTCAATATTGAATTCTATATTGTTATGTTTGTGCTGCTGATAATGAAAATGAAGATTATGATAATGTTATTAACATTATTATTATTACTATTGTTATTATCATTGTTGAATTTCTCTAGGGTCTTGTTTTCCTTTTAGTCTTGACAACAACATCAAGAATGATGCTGTGCTGTAGTTTTGTTTTTGGTGATCAAATTTAAACCGTTTTACGTTTAATTAATACAAAGACTATTGATGTATTATTCTGATCGACAATTCTGTTCTTTCCCTTTCGATGATAAATATTTAATGAATAACAGAAAAAATCCAACGAATAAAGAAAATGATGTACATTATAAGGTGAGAGAATGTCATGTATATATCACAATAGTCATAGAAAAAGAAAGAAAAAGTGTCTGTTGGAATATTACGTTGTATTGTTCTTCTCTTTTTTCTTTTCCTTTTCTTTTTACCAAAAAAAGAACGAAAATAAGGAATAACAATAATTGACTCAATGAACAAATCATTTATAATACTTAATACCTTCTTTATTTAATCATTCATAAATTTGATTGATAATAAAATAAAAATGTAAAAGATTGAAAATGAAATTAAAATAGAATACAGCAACAATTATTCATCACAGTAAGCATAATTAAATTATTTATAAAGACAATGAACCCAGTCAAATGAAACTAATGCATGTATACTTATATATATATATATATATATATATATATATATATATATATATATATATATATATATATACGTGTTCACAAAATTACAATGAGATGGAATAGTTTCGGTTATGGAAAGAAAGAAAAAGAAAACAAACAAACAATCAAGTACATTTGGAATGGTAATTCATTTTAAAAGTAAAAACAAGATACAATACTAAAAATTTTTTAAATGTCACAGTAAGAGAATAAGTCATTATCAAATAGTCTTATATTATTATTATGAATTCATTACATAATCCGATAATTCTTTATTAATGTTACATATATGGTCTATTATTATAAGTAATAATATTATTTATCTTATAAATAAACCATATAGAATAAACTAATGGTATTATTGAAAGTTTTAATAAGTCAAACATAATTCATAAAACTTTGTTAGGATATTGAAATAAGTTAACATTCCGGAAGCTCTATCAATCATAGTTAATATGCAATTCCTCTTTTAAACGTTCCCAATACTTATAAAGTATATTCATTGATATAATGCTGTTTTTTTTTGAAAAAAAAGAGTGTTTAGTACAACAGAATCAATTCAAACTAAGTAATATGGATAGTTATATATTGTTCTTTAAAACGGTTTTTTTATTAAATTTTTTCTATATGACTTCAGTTTTATTCAAGAAAGAGAAAAGATTTCTTATTGGAAGGGATTGAAAAATAAAATTCAATTTGAAAATAAAAGGCAACCTTTTACATTGGATTAAAGAGAAGAACAAACTGAAGTAGCGGCAAGTAAGAATATTAACAGAAACGTTGCTCTTTTAAAAAAAACACAACATAAAATATACTTCCTAACCGAAGCTGCCTTCTAAAAAAAGCAAACAAAATAACACACAATAGATAAATTGGCTGAAATACAAAAGACAATAGTAGTAGTGCTAAAATCAAGAAAAAAACGGTAATAAAAGTCAATAAGATTAATTGAAGATGATCTGAAAAATATAAGAAAGACAAAAATGAAAGAACTAAACATGTCATGCTGCAATAATGTCAAAGAAGTTCAATATAAATATACTGTAAACTAAACTAATAGAACCTAATGACTTATATCACACACAAAGTTTTATTGGTTTTCATTAAAGAGATGGAGGAGGGAGGGAGAGAAAAGACAATTTGACATGATTAACTCATTTGAATCCAATATAAATTTGATTTTTTTTATTTCTATTACTATCGATCATCATTTAGTTACTATTATGGTGAAAATGGTAACAAACAAAAGAAAAAGAAAACACATTGTATATTCACAATTATGTATGCAATAAATTAACAAAATTAAGAAGAGGATTTAATAAAGTATAGAGATAGTGAGAAACATGCACAGCCTGCAATAGATTATGAATAGTTTACCAGTTAATTTTTGTTTTTGTTTTTTTATCATTCTTTTCTTTTTTTTAAAAATTTGATATTCAATTTCATTTTTGATCTGACATAAAAGAATTAACTGAACACGATGCTGGTGTACCAACATTATCTGAAGCCGTTTCATTTCGTTCATCAACTATTTGTAAAATAGGTTCATCATTTTCTGATTCTGAAAAATGTGTATCATTAATTTCAGATTTTGACATTTCTATACAATAATTAGAATCATATTCATTTGTTATTGAATTTGTTGTAGGTGCAATAGAAGTAGTAGTAGTAGTTGTTGTTATAATATCATGATTATGTTTTTGCAATTTCCCAGTTGAATTTAAACGAATTGAATTATTTGTTCGACTTTTAAGTCCTAATAGATTATCACATTCTTCTTGGTCATTTGTACAATTTCTATGTGATTTTAAAGATTCTTGCATAATTGGTGAATTTCTTAAAGGATGTTGTCGACTTCTTTGATTATTAGCAACTCTTCTAGCTTGAACACATACATCTGTCATACATAAATTAATTGATCCAGTTTTTAATTGTGGATGTCTTTGACGTATAAATACTAAAGATAAATAAAAACAAAACATTTATCACTAAATTTTATCAACACTTGTAAACATCGCATACAGAAAAGATGAAATGTGGTTAGAATTCATAACGCACGTTTCGCCTTACGACTGATAAAAATTCAGTAAAAATATTAATAATGGGATAATTCAAATCACCACAAATAAGATTGTATTTTTTGGGTTTGAATATAGACATTCGATTTAAATTATGCTTGTACTAGAGGTCCATTAAAAACTAAAATAGCTGATACTGTAGTGAATAGAACACGGGTGGGGACAATCGGATGTATTTAACATAAAATTACAGAACTTGCTAATAAAATCTAACAATCATAAAGTAAATGCTTAATTTGCAAAATGACCATCAATTGTCTCAAAATGACGCAGAATTCATTGTTCTTGCACTTTCATACAAATTGTATTCCGTTTCCATTCTTTACTATCCGATCCTCTTGTCTCTCTGCTGTCAGACATTCTGTCCCTGGCTAACATCATATACTACTTACGTTAATATAAGTAGCACACACCACAATACAACCTTGCACTTTATTAATCCAACCTGAAAAAAAATACTGACACAACTTCACTTCTTGTTTTACTTATCCGACTATATGAAACTCTGCAAAACTTTCAATAACATTCAAGTATTTATCTGAATTCCTTATTTACTTAGTACAAGCAAAGTTTGATGGTTGACTGTTGAGTATTATCAATCACTTATAAATAAAGTACATATTCAAAATAGGGATAATGACAAAACATCTTTTATTTGAAAAAAGTAAACATATCACAAATAAAATCAAACGTTAGACCATTTCATAATTCTAACTTTGTTACATAATGATATTTATTAATAATAGTAATTACAGTATAATGATGAATTAAGAAAGTTCTCTATTACTATACAGATAAATAAACGATATCTCAATCATCTTCATTTCAACTTAACTATAATATTTCTTATCATAAGTTTTGTAATTTATCATTTAATCAAACGAAACTATATCACTGAGCAAAATAGTTTAGTTCATCATCAATGAAAAAAATAACAATGACATGAAGAGTATCAAACGCAAAAATAGAAAGAAAAAAGAGGAAAAAATGAAAATAGAGGAAACAACAATAATAGAACTACACTAAAAAGTTAAATTTATTTGTGTTTATATAATTTTCAAATGAAGAAAGCTTAATTAGTTTTATTATCCAATTGTTGTTGTTGTTGTTTTTTCTTTTTTTTTTTAATTTTACAGGAAATGGAAGAAATTTACGGATGTAAAGAAGTGAGATGGAAATCTCATGTAATTTTAATTATTATTCAAATTGTGCGTGTTCTTTATTCTTGTAAAAAAAATTTATTCTGTTACTGTTTATCATTATTTCTGTGTTCACATTTGGTTATAAATGAAAAATAAAAAATGGAGGGAGTGGGAGTGAGATTGTATAAACAATGGTATATTGTGTATATCGGCTTATGAAGATAATTTCTTTCTGTTTTATTTTTCGAAAAACCATTAAGACTTTTCTGTTTTTCTATACAAATTTATCTTTGATAGAGAAAATTAATTTATCTTTTTGTTCATAAAAAAACGATATGGTATGATGAAAGAGACTTCCGGAATGTTAATTAATAAAAACATCAAGATTACAGTTATAAATGAAAATTTTAAGTTTGTCCTGTATAATCACTATACAGATGGGTATAAAAAAATAGAAAAAGAAAACGAGATGAATTTACTTAAGGGTGATTAGATCTGAACTATTTTTTGAGCATTCACTATTAATATTTCAAATGTTTCAATTGTAATACCAACATGCCAAATCCTCATTTATATAACAATAAAGAGGTAAAGTAAAATGGTTTATATTTTCTAGTATAATTGAGTACAAATTGATGTAAAAATGTAGTTACAACAGGGAATATTAAAACAATTAAGATCATTATTATTATTATCAATTAAATATAACACTAACTAATGTTTAAATAAGATTTAAAGGATAGAAATGAATAACAGTGAATATTCTAGTATAGGATGATATTTTATGAGAAATCATGCCTATAAATTAGTTACTACTAACTATCACAAAAATACATTGAATTATGTTAGTTGATTAGTTTAATAGATGTCATCATCTTGTAGAACGTAAAATAATAAAAACTCTTCTTCTAAGCCACAAATCTTCTTTATTATCTTAATATAGGCTATTGTTATTAAATGATTAAGTTGAGGAAAAAAGATGATGAATTTACCATACACTCCTTCAAACTACTTACAAGTACTGTATGCTCTTGACTAGAAATTAAAGTTATTTTCTTCTATTTTATTAAAACTGTGATCACTCTCGATATAATTAATTAAATCAGTAACTACAAACTGTGTATATAAGTAAATATTAAAAGGTTATAAAAGATATCAATCTTGAACCGCAAAACAAACAATTTCATATTCCAAAAATCAATGCCAATAAGTGGTATTAAAAACAATGGTTCTCATGTTTATAATTGTAAATGGCTAATGAGTTAATTTAATATTTTGTTCTAACTCTCCATAAATCTGATCAACCATAACATGTACGAAAGGGATTTCAGGTAAATACTTTAAATACCAAATCAATACAGAAAATGCCATTACATTAAGAATTTCATAATATTTGTTTAGTGTATTATACATGCAACATTTACAGCGGATTTCATTTTTGTTTTGTTTAAGCTAAGAAAGAATATTCTAATTTCAAATTATAACTTTCAGAATGTTCATTATTATTCTTCTTTTATTTTTTTACTTTAAAGTATAGAAAAATAAATGGATGAGAATTAAACACCATCTGACGTATAAACTAATTGTTCAATGAAGCTGAAACTAAAAATATTATAGGTTATTCATCTTATTTAAACAAAGCATTGGCGTTTTACTCATGTATATTATCCACGTGGTTAACTGTACAATCATATATTTCATGAAACTAACCTATGTATAAACCATATAAAATTGACTAATATCTCAATTTCATACACATAGTTCCCTTTGTCATTTTAAAAAGAGCAAGAACAAACATTCTAGCAGAATAAAATGAATTCATTTTTATTTCGTTGGTTCTCGTCAGCTACTCACAACCTGTGATATTTAAACATCATAATTACATAATGAGTTTAGATTATCTAAATGGAAGTGTTTGATTGGAGGTTATATTAAAGACATATTCGTATTGTATAACAAGGATGTAAATAAATGTAACAGACTGAATATTGTAAATATATACCTTGTGTAAAAGAAAATTGTGACAACAGTTCAAATGGCTAGAAACAAGTAAACATTGATAGGAATAAACCAAGTAGAGTTCAGTTGATAAAACAAGATTATTAATTTGGAAGGTAGTTGGGATAAAAATCAATGATGTGATAAGTGCAAGAAAGAAGTTGAAGAAAAAGAAAAAAATATTAAGATACAGCGAAAGAATATTAGTCACCAAGGCAAGGAAAGATTAATAGCTATCTTATTTTGAACACATAAATCAGGTTTTCGGCGTCTGATAGCAACTGCTTTAGCAAACTTCGGAAGACTGGAGTTTGGCTGCTTACTAATCACCTTGAATAATTGTAGGGTATCGAAATGATATCCTGTATCAAAGAGATGTTTGGTGATTGCTCTATTTAGAGTCTTTCCTTCTCTTGTTTTGAGGCTTTATGGAACATGTTCAAAAAATCTGAGATATGCCCTACTTTCTGTTTGGCCAATGTAATATTCATAGCAAATAAAAACTTTCAACAACTCAATGGATCTTAGAATTAAGAACTACTAAACAATGCCAAGTGCATGAACAGTTGTTGCACAAACATACTGTCTAAAATTAATTTAATAATTGAATTCATGAGTCAATTGAAGCTAAACCACCATGGGAAACCTGGAAGTAGTGAGCGGCCGTTTCGTCCTAGTATGGGACTCTTCAGCAGTGCGCATCCACGAGTATGTTCACTGGGTCCAAACCAAGGACTTTCGCTCTTGCAAGTAAGCGCTTAACATCTATATCGCAGAGACAACATCCAACGGTATTAATCTTTCACTTCAAGCAATCCATGAAATGTCGCGACCATCTTCAATTGTCTTTGGTGAGTAATTGCCTTACACTTGGCACGGCTGAACTTTACTGGTCACGGCTTCTCACCAGAACTCCGAGAATTAATTCCCGAAACTAGTCACTAGTGAGCACATGATAATTATCAGTATAAGGTTGTGGAGATTGTTGGGGTTTAACAGACCGAAGGTTTTGGTTTTGAATCCAGTAGGCGAGATCGTGGATGCGCACTGCTGAGGAGTCTCATACTGGAACGAAACGGTTGTCCAGTGCTTCCAGGTTTTCCATAGTGATCTAGCTTTAATTGACTCACGAATTTGACTCGATAATTTCCAGTCTTATTAGATAACAAATACCGTTTGTTACACTTAGAAAATCATTACAACAAAGCAAATTTATTTTGCTATACAATAGTTTAATCATATCCGACATAATGAAATCAATAAAATGAATGTTTCCAATGTTTTTACAATGACTGTTATAATCTAGATTGTTGTAACTAAAAGCTAAACAGATAATCTTTATCTCATTCTTAAATGCAGACACAAGTAATTTGTAATTCAGTTAATGTAATAATGAGATAAACACATTTTGGTAAATAAAAATACATTGTTTAAAAACAAACAAACAAAAGCATATTCTGATAGAAATCCTTCCGATGTGATTGAAATGAAATAGCATACCTAATTTAATGAGTATAGTTTAGACTGAACTTTCATAATAAATCTGCTTACAAAAATGCTGTCATTACAATAATCTGACTTTAAAAATTACCCTTGTTAAATGTATAACCTAATGTGGAATAAACAGTATTAAAAGTTGTTGTTGTTTTGTTTTTTTAATGAAGAAACCAAGAAAGTAGGTGCTTTAATTTTACAAATACCGATATATATGTGTTTAATAAAAATAATAATGAGAGGTTCAATGGATAAAATTTTACAGTATATATAATTGCATGTGAACAAACTCATTAGAGTATTTCAACTTTACCGCCATAATCAAATTCCTTATCAATAAACTGACAGTATTCATGATTTATTTGTAACTAGTTTAAGAACACATTTATTATGGATGATATTATCATGAAAAGTCTAACTATTGTTATTAGGTTAAATGAACTAAAAACATATTGATTAATAAACAGTAGTTTGTATGAGTCTATAAAGAGTCTGAAACATTGTTAAGCCCGATGTAATGTGACGTAATCTGAAATGATTATATATCTTTGAAAATATAGGTTGAATAGACAAAATTAAGTGAAAATAGATGTTTGACAAGAAATATCAAGAAAAAAGAAGCATTAGTGACAACTACAATATTACGAGTCTTGGTGTGCACCATAAAACAGTAAGTAGACTATAGTCAGAATGACAAAATCGACATTCATTTAGTTTGTCAGATAATCATAATCAAAGTAGAGCCTGGAATAGGTATTTATTAGTACAGTTTACTACACTGGATTAGTATAATCAAATAAAAATAACAAGTTGGTTGAAATAATATAGTAACAAGGATGATATGAAAGACTAAATATTTATGTTTTTCTAAAAGACGGAGTTGAAAGATGTATGTGAGAAAATGCTGGAATGTGACATTGAGAAAAAGATAATAATTGAACGAGTCTACCCCACTATGAACGATTCTGAGCCACCTCACCTAATATTTTCAAGCAGTGATTGTAGTTCGAATCTGTCTATATATCTCAAACCCGTACTCAGTGACTTCATGAAGCTGTGGTATGTCTTGATTCGGACTCTGCTAGGTTTCGTTTGACCTAATTCTATTCCGGCAGACATCGCCTGTCACGAATGTTATTAGGCTTTAGTAAAAAGTGTCATAAACACCTCAGTCAATTAAAACTCATAACCACATCAACCAATCCGACACCACCTAGTATTCTATCCCTAACCTCAACATTGAACACTTTGTCGTTCCACGAAAAACGAATAATATTTCGAAGATCGCTATTATTAAGAACTTGCAGTCTAAGTATTTCATTTACTTTCGTAGTCTAACTTTCATACCCACAAATCTATAGAGGACGGACTGCTGTCAAGTATACATCCCATTTGGCTGGTAGACAATCATCTTGTGGTATATTTGTCCCCATTGAGTTTTATTATATCGAAAATACGGACTTGTTTATTGTTAGTCGTATTAAGAAATAGAGTGAAGTTGATTTAGTGGTTAAATAGTATTGAACTTTTCTCAAGATTCTCTGTCTGCTCATAATTGCCCAAAGCACTAGAAACTCAATTTTTAACAGAAGATAGCCATCCTATAATGTCTGGACTTCTGCATTGTCTTACATGATATAAGCCCCTGATGACAACTGGATTCAGCAAAAATATCTAGGTAATAATCAAAACGGAATATATTGTACAACTAGTGAATAAATGCTTATTAACCATTAACCAGAAAATTACAATTTAATTCGCAGAAAGCTCATGCCGTCTTAATATGGACGGTTACTATACATAGATGTATATTTGTTTATGGTATAGGATTTGTAGAGATAATTTAATTATCATAAATTAAATCACAAACCGATCTTAGCTAAACCACTATTGAAAATCTTTAAGCACTGCACGGCGATTTCGCTCCGTTCTTGGACTCCGTAGTACTGTACATTCACGAGCCTGTGATTAATAGTCGAACATAAATGACTCAACTCGAAACCACTGAGTCGGCATCCAATTGTGTTAATGCTTAGTCTTAATCAATCCATAATACTGCTTAAGCCTCGTCTATTGTCTGCGGTGAATAATTGTCTCACACTAGACATAGTTGAATTCCACTGATTTCAACTTCTCATTAGAACTCTACTAATTGGATTTTGAAGTTAATCACTAGTTAGTGAGATCTATGCAATAACTATTTAAAATGATTATTAATAAGTTATTAGTGAAAAATTCATCCAGTGCAAAATCAAACTAAACTAGTAAATAACCATGATTTTCAAATGATAGAAATCAAATAATTATTACATAACGTTAAGGACAAAGAATCATTTTCTTTTCAAGTGCATCAAAACAATTTTTTCAACAACAATAAAATAACTCAAAATTTACATACACACGTACATATTAAAAGTATAGTTATTTAGTATTATTTTCTAAGTAAGATATGGTCACATAAAAGAGAAATAAATGAGAGGGGACTAAGAATAAAAAACCTTATGACTATTAATAAGAAACTAACAATCACCAACGACTATTACTGGTATTACCAGTATAATAATCATATATAATTACATATTTAATCATGCTGTTAATAAAACTACATTTATTAATGAACTTAAAGAGGATAATGAAAAAAAGAAATTGTAAAATGTACTTTTATTCTTTCATTCTAACTAACCATTTAAAAATGGTTTTATAGGTTGTTCTGTACGAAATAATCATAAGGACAGAATAATTAATTTGTTTGTTTTTTTTTGATGGATTGTATCATATTTTGTTGTCATTATTTAGAATCAAAATAAATTGATGGGAAAATGATGGGCAAGAGAAACTGAAGGAAACTAACTTCGATAGTTATTATTTATTTACATACAGAATACAAACTTTTGTTTGTTTTTGTTGTTATTTAATTTTGAGTTAATTGTTTTAGATTACGATAGTTGTCTTGACTGCTAAACTGCAATTCTTAAATGATAATTATGAAGGAGAAAATAACCACGTCTCAAATAATGGATCAATAAAATGTTTCATTGTGAATGTAGGGGGAATAAACGCGAAGCACACTTTGAAAACATACATTCATAAAACATTTGAAAGTAATATTGACATATACAGCTTTTCTGATTAGTTGTATTTGACTTATTATCAACTATCATGTTTTTGTGATGGTGGCAATGAAGATTGTTGAATTTCATTTAAATCGTAAACCAATCTAAGTTAGACCACTATTGAATACCTGGAAGCACGAGACGACTGTCTCGTCCTAGTATGTGACTCCTCATCAGTGCATAAACATAGTCTGGCATATATGACCTCAACTCAGCACCTTTGATGTCGCGCGCAAACCCTCAACCTCTAGGCTAATGAGCTGAAATCCGATTGTATTAATGTTTAACCTCAATCAATCCACACGATTGCATGACCGGGAGAGCTAATCTGTTTCAAGTGTGGGGTAGTTACCTACCGAAGGTAATAGAAGATGATCATGCAATGTCGTGGATTAATTGAAGTTAAAGACTAGCACTGTTGGATGCAGATTCATTGGCCTAGAGGTTAAGTATTTGCGCACGAAACCTAAGGTGATAAGTTGGGGACCCGCATGAGGAATCGCGATTACGTGCTGCTGAACAGTTCCATACTAGAACGATACAACCATCTAGTACCTTCAGATGTTTCACGGTGATCTAACTTAGATCGGTTTATAATTTCAATGATATTATGTTTCTAGCTAATTTTTAGTAAAATGGGTTGTCTTTATGTCTTGCACAAAATACTTTAGTGGGAGATTTTCTGAATACTAACTTAAAACGAAGATGGTAATTTTCATGAAAGCTTTCCTTAACTGATATCATTTAAATGGACTAGAATTACTCTCATTTCAAGATTCTGGTTAATTTATAGTTTCCACAATAAGTATTCATTCAACCAATCTTATTGTTTACTATTGACAAACTTGTATAAAATAAGATGGTTTAAGAACACATAGATCATCTTTTAATTGCACTGACCCTAGAAACGGAATAGAATCAAAAATATTTATACTGTGAAAGAACCGAAGAATAACTACTAAAAATGTTGCTTTGGTCTTAAAGTAATTTATTGTCCGTTTAAACTAAGTGACGAAGTAAGAATTCATTTAAGAGGGTTTACTTGTGTTAACCCGATTAACAATTATTTTTAATATATTTTATTTGAAAACTAAGCCAAGTACTTCATTTTATGATGTCTAGTATTGGCTAATTTAGTTTTATTAGATCCCGTCTTTGAGTTACTTATATTTTCTCAATATAAGTTCGTTCAACCTTAACCAGTTTGATTGTTTACAATATTTTTCTCCAAAGGATTCAGCTGGTGGTGAAATTTTTGTTAATAGTATATCCCAAACATTATGATTTCATGTAAATTTCATAGTTTAGACAATAGGAGAGGTTCGTTTTTGAAACAAAAAGTAACAAGAATTTGACGAAATCAACTTTCCTGGGTTATATTAGCTATGAAATTTTAGTAAATTTGATCATAAATGTAATTTTTATTATTCATAAGAAAGGAATGGATAGTTTACTTACTTTTAATTGCTTCCGTAACACTTGGTTCTAGGCGCTGTTTATAAATACCTTCACCAGATAATGATGAAGCAGCCAATTCATCTTGTGTAAAAAAACTTTTCATCAGTAATCTGATTAATCGCGTAGCACTTCCAGATGATTTTACAATTAAACTATAAAATATATCTTTGGATAATTTCACATTTGGATGAGCTTCAGATAGTAATATTTGACTCTATATCAGAAAAGAATAAGAAAAAAACTATTGATGTCATTGTCAGAAGACAAGAGGTTACTTAATCTCTAAAATAAACTATTACTTACCATGATTCTAGAGATTTAATTATATTTAAAATGATAGGCGTTTGAAGAAGTCACTTAGTTCAAACACACATTAGTTCACAACATATCAGCTAAAGCCTAATATAATACCTACATCTTGCTGAACAAATATCATCGAATTAAGGATTCAAAACATTTTCGTAAATCGTCTTCAAACATAAGATTCAAAATAAAATCAATCATGATGTCACAATAAATTTTTCTAAATATAAAATTCACTTATTTATTGAATGAAAAGTATTGGTTTAGTTACCGATATGGCTGATTTTAACCAAAATTATCGACCAAATCTCATTAATTACATTCATGAATTCGTTTCAATTTGATATGCGAATTCATTTTCTTGGCTCATTTTTGATTTCTTTTAGTCATTATGTAATCGAATTTTTAGTAAATCTATAAGTAATTTATGTAGTCAACTGGAAAAGTTGATTTTTTTCGTAATGTGAAATAAACACTATTTCCGCCTCATTTCCAAACTTCTTGATAGTTGATTTAAATAATGTCATTATGAAATAACTCCGAATATACTCCAAATAATGTACTCTTATGAATTTACAAAGCTTGCGTTATAAGAATTATGGTAAAATATAGTCATACGAAATCAGTGTTTTACAAATATGGAAGATAAACTGTTTAGTTTAACTGCCAATATTACATCTAGCTTAATAAATAACTGCTTTTTAAATAAGGGATATATTATATCCCACTAACCAAACAACTCAGTCTAGTCATGTAATCAACTTAAGCGTTATTTTCACGATAAAAAACTAGTCAATATACAGATATGATGAGTAGTATCCTAGTCCAGCCATAAATTAGAATTACTCAATAACAATCTTATTAATTAATCACTATTTATTTTAATTTTTTACAAATGTCACTGTTAATATCATTCCGTAGAATATTTCACCTAAAGAGATATACTTGCATGTTAATAGATGTATCTGTTTTAGTAAATTTCACTTGTTAAAAACAGTTAACTCTTCTTTTTATTTTATACTTCTTTCTATTGTCTTTATATGTTGTATATTGTATGTAGTTCTCTGTTAGAGAAATAAATAAATTGTCTTCATCACAATATTGCGTGTTATATTCCTTACTGTAAATGTTGACACCACTATCATTATTATACAAGTTCTATCACTTTTTCTTTCTTTGAAATTAACTCGACTCTTTCAAACATCATACATGTTTGATTAGGAATCATGTTGTCCTTTGGATCCGTGCATTATTCAAACTATACAAGTTAAGACAAACAGTGAAGTACTATTTATCCTGTTTTCTCTATCTCTATCTGTCTCTCGCACACACACACAAAATTAATACTAAGTTCCACAAATAAAATTGCATTTGTCTGTATAGTAAAAATAATCTTTCTTTTTAAATATGACATAGTATAATATCCCTACATTTGCCTGCCAGTCTGTTTGTTCTAAGAATATTAACGCATTTATTTTTTTTTCCTTAAAAATGAATGAAAAATAAACGCAAGTCTATCTCTTCTTACATCTCAGCTTGTGAATGTGTATACAAATAATTTGTATATCACATTTGAACAGAAAAAAAAATAAGAAAACAAATTTATGAATACCAGTGCTATCGTGTTGGGTTTTTTTAATAAGTTGAAATGAAATAAGTAAAAAAAAAAGAAACTACATACAAACTGAGACAAGAATAAGTGCACATTATAAAGGAGAATGATGAATTTATCTTGACTACATCAAGAAGAAAGAAAGAAATAAAAAAAACAGAAAGAAAATTCTATCAAAAATGTTTTATCGTAATAATAATTATTATATTATCAATGATAAAATGAACTATATAACTCTCCCCCCTCTCTCTCTCAATATATATATATATATATAAGTCAAGACAAAATGCCATCTTCCAAAATAAATTTAATTAATGATATCGTTTGACATGATTATTATTATTATTGTCGTTGTTGTTTCTTATTTATTCCTTAAAACTACTGAAACTTTACTGATACGTATGAAATATGAAAATATTGGGTGAAGGGATATTTAAACAAACACACACACACACAGATACACAACTACCACACGCATATACCAAATAAAGTATTCAATAATAATAAAATTCGTGTTTTACATGAATTAAGATTATCAATAATAATAATCATTGGATAATAATGTAAGAAATTGAAAATCATGAATAATGAGAAATAATTTAAGAATAAAATAGTAACGGAAAAAAAATTATTAACTTAGTTAGATATAACTATGAATGTAGTCATGAAATTTACTTATTGAATTGATGCTTAGTTATTCATGGATAACAAGTTAAATAAGAAATAAAAAATAATAATGATAGTGTATATTATTTTTGATTAAACAACATATGTCACTAAGGTGAATCAGTTTAATATTTGAAAACAAAAGGTTTATTGAATAGATAACCAATCCCTTTTTTTTAAAAAAAGAACAATTTTTGCTTTTTAATCTTAAATACTATTGCTAAACAATAATTCAATGATAAGAATATATGGAATATTTAATAGGTAATTTAATAGGGGTCGTGAATGTGCACTGCTGACGAGTCCCACAATAGGACGAAATGGCTGTTCAGTGCTTCCAGGTTTTCTATGGTGGTTTAGCTTCAAATGACTCATGATCTCAACTATTGAAATTACTACAATTTCCACAAAACCCCTTCTGATACTAAATAAAGTATCTCGATACTATAGAAAGTAATGATGGAACTAAATATAAAATGATCATATTTACTGTAATTATTAAAATGCACACCTTTGAAAATGATTGTAATATTTTAGTAAGTTTAGTTAAATAAACTATTATTTAATGTTATAATGATCAACTTATTGAAGACAACAAATATTATGCTTATATGTGAAAATTACATTTGAAATAATCTCAGTGATTGAAATTTAAAATAATTCCAACGTTTCGTCCAACCAACTTGTCTGAACTTCTCCAGGGTAATAAACCAAGAAGTTCAGACAAGTTGGCTGGTCGAAACGTTGGAATTATTTTGAATTTCAATCACTGAGATTATTTCAAGTACAAGTTTCACACATAATGACTTCTCTATACTAGGGGCTTAATTTCTGTCCAAATATTATGCTTGTTATGTATTTGTTTGGCATTCATTTTAAATGATTTCTTGTTGTTAAGAATCCGGTTGAAGTAATTCTAAAATAGTCGTTAAGTGAATGTGTTTATTTTTTAAAAGAACTTCATTAAGTAAATAGTTCTTCATAGGGTAGCAATCTGTTTTTTTAAGGTTTTACATCTAGTCCCAATTGTGAAGAATGTAATCTGTTATTTAATAGTCTCAGTTAATTCTCAAGTTCTTTAGAGAATTACCTTAGTAGAATAAACAATCAAACAGCCAAAATATAAGCCTATGATGATATTCATATATAACTCTTGTCACGCCGCATAAAAAACTAATGACTGGCCAAATGGATTTTTACTAACTATGCAAAACAAATATTATAACCATATTGTTATTGATGAATATGAAAATTTTTTTCTTTGCTAATGGGAAGTTGGCTTGGAGTTATCCGTTTGAACCAATTACATTTCGTTAAGTGAAATGTTATATAGTATTGTTGAAGAGTTTTTCGCTAACTGTTTAATTCCACATCAATAAGGCACAATAGCTTCAACGGACTCTAGACTATTGCACTTCGAACTAAATATTAATCAAAAAATCTACCATACAGACTAGTTTAAAATCTGATTCTGAACAAATCTTCTTCAACATTATTAGGAATATCCCTAAGACGAACAAAAAACAGTATACTCCCTATAAGAGAAAATGCAAGCCACTTATCTAGCATATACATATATATATTTGTATAGTGATGCATATTCACATAATTGTGAATATATGGTACTTTGTTACGTTTGTTCACACCAGATGATTTTTTTGTTCGACATATCATTTGTATAAAATATCACATATTGTACAAAGATTTTATGATTTTCATTGCCAAATATTACTGACATTAAAAATATTAAATTTTATTTGTACACTGAACAATTCCTCGGTGTACTAAACAAGTATGCCAATATTCAGTAATAGATTAATTAAAAGTAAACGTATTTATCCTGAAATCACTACAGTTGAGTTCAGCAAAGCTGTAACATTATCCTAAAATACTTGTGATTTGCGTATAAATATGCTTGATTATTAGATGTCGAATTTATTCTCATCAATTAAGGCTACTTTTGACAGAACGCATGAATATTCACTACCCATATGTGTCCTCATTCGTACTTATGTGTAAACGTTCTGGCTACTTATTTGATGCAAATGAAGAATTTAAGGCTATTTGGACATGATTCAATCAAGAATATTCATTCTGTAGCATTCTGTTGTTTCTATATTATCCATTACTATATTTTGTTAATAATTTCATTATTTTTCATTCATGAAAAAATACATTTATAGATGGAAGAGATGATTTTTTGAATTACAGAAAATCAATTTGTGATAAGAACATATATATATATATATATATATATATATATATATATATATATGTCCTAATAATCCTTTAATCCGTAAATCGTTACCCTACAACGAAGAGTTCATCATATTAGGAAAGTAATTGATATTCATTACCTCGTAAATGAACTTTTACAGCAATTCACATACGCTACTTTATGAAACTAAGCCATCACTTTGATATTTTGTTAAAAATATCAGTTATGAGACCAACCATAGAAGTTATGGAGGTAGCGTAATAAAATGTTATATATGTATATCAATTGTAAAGCTAAACACAACTTTAATCCCGAGCTCTACGTCATTTCAAATTATATGAATCATGACAGCTAAACATACATAGACCAATAATTGAATAACTAAAGATTATGCTTGATATGAGGTGACTTATTT